CATGCTAAAAAATACTCAAAAATTGTGACAAATTAAAAAAAGATAATAAATAAATATTGTATATAAATAAATATTGTATATGAAATAATAAAACTTTTTTACATATATTATTTATTATAAAATTTCATTTATTTTATTTCTTTTCAATTATATCATTGCATTGTGAGTCTAAATCAAATAATATAATAATTACGATATTTAATATATAATATTTTATGAAATGGTATATATACATATAATACAAAATATTATATACAATATTGCAATACAAAATAAATGAAATTTTATAATAAATAATATATGTAAAAATTTTATTATTTTATATACAATATTTATTTATTATCATTTTTTAATTTGTCACAATTTTTGAGCATTTTTTAGCATGAATTCAAAATTTAGAAAATAATGTTAAAAAACTAGAGGGAATGGCGGACCAATCACAAGTCATACCCGTAACGCGTCACTCTGATTGTAGGCTCTCTAGTTTACACAACTCACGTTTTCACTAAACATCGCAAAGTCCCAGACATGGCGCTGATCAATCCCGATAGCGAATCGTTGTCTCGACTCTTATTATAGTTTATAGTGACTCTACAAATGCTGAAACGAACATAATACAGTAATCTTGATACAGCCAGTGTTTTGCAGTGTTTGCAAAAATGCTGTCAAAGTGTCAAATTTCAATTGTTTCGTGATATGATGTGTTTTATTAAAGACAAGTCGTTGATACAATATATAGAACACATCTGTATTGTATTGGGCGTTTTATTCAATTGATTTAGTGACTATCGCATAGCACACCGTCTAACATAGTCGAGATTGGGCCGATCGAGTGCCAAAACATCGGTTTTCATTAAAATGGCTGTCAAAGAGAGACAAAACGAAACCTCGTTCGACGAAATAGAATGGAATGTGGAAAACGAAATTCAACTTTTTTTTGCCATGAATGGACACAAGCCAGTTGGTAAGACGCAAAAACCGGTGATGAAAGGTTATGTTTACCCCTGTTTTCTATATTTATTTTTTCCAACGTAATTAATTTTAATTTCAGTTTAATTTATTCTCTGTTTTTTTTCAATTCGTAGACTTAGGAAAAGATAAAATATAAATTAAACCGAGATTAAAATGAATCTACATTGGTAGAAATAGATACTGAATGATTTCAATCAAATTGCTTGATTGGCAATTAAATAATTAAAACAAAATCTCTGTGTATAACGCATGGCTTTCTGCCAAAATTGTAGCGTCCGTAATATAAGTATATACATATTTTAAACAAAAAATTCTGTGTTAATAGAATACTACAAGTACTTGACAAGTTGATCACCAAGTTAATGAGAGTTTATTATTAATTAACAATTATGTTTTGCAACTGTGATTTTTATTATTGTTCAATTGTCAGGTATCAATAAATATTTCCATATGGTATGTATATGGGAAAAATTTCGTGCTGCTATTCATAAAGATGTTCCATTAAAAATAATTTGGGATCACTTGGAATCCATGTACGACCTTATGTCTTTGGTAAGTAACAACATATATAATAAAATCTGTATTCTAAAATGAAGTTATATCTAGCATCGTATTAGGATAAATAAATTCCTATAAAAACTTATTTTGAATATATAATATATTAATACAATATATTTGTGCATCTATATATATGTGTGTATGTGTGTATGTGTGTGTGTGTGTGTGTGTGTGTGTATGCGCGTGCGTGCGTATAGTGTGTGTAGTGTCCTGTAAAGATCAGAAGAATAGGGGAGATAATTTTGAAATGAAAATTTTAATATCAAAATGTTAAAAGAAAATATTTTTTTTAACATAATAAATATTAATAATTAGAATTATCAGTAATTATATCTTTACCTACATAATTTTTATATCGATGTATCAATATTTACAAGAGACAATTATATTGGAATTACCTTTCACTTTTAGCATTTTGCATTGTTTCATATTTGAATGTGCAAATTGATGGTATAATTCGCTAACTTTAAATATTTATAATTTATAATTCAAAAACTATTAGTCTTGACATTTTGATATTAAAATTTTCATCTTAGGAATCTCCCCTTAAGTGTTCCAGTTTTTGAGATATCTTTTTATATTTATTTATTTATGTATTGAATTTTTTGATAGGATGATATGGAAGGTTTACCTTTTCCTGGTCACGAGATAGATTTTTCCTTACCGGAGACTGAATTTGTGGGAAAGCCACGAAAAAAGGAAGAATTAGAGATAAAACTGAAAGATCAGAGGGATAAATACAAGGAAATTAAAAAAGAAAAAGACATCAAAGATAGTTCTAAGAAAGATAGCATGTTACGTGATTTTAAAGGAACCAAAGATGTGGAAAAGAAAAAAGAAGAGATTAAAAAATGTGTGAAAGAGGTAGATATAAAAAAGGATAAGTTTAAAGATGTGAAAGAGACAAGAAAAGAACATAAATCATCAAAAGGACGTTCAAAAGGGAAGGAGGATTCAGAAGAGAATGGTATTTTAATATTTGATTTTGATTATTATTTAGTATTTTTCTCTAACAGAATTGCACACACAAATTGTATTTTCGTTTCTTTTAAGCATCAAATGGAAAGAAGGAACGTAAAGAATCCGAATCGAGTCGCGAGCTTGCAAAAAGGATTCCAAAGAGACCAACCAGACAAAGTGTGGATAGTTCTTCTAAAGCTTCTTCCAGTCCACGCGATACACCTCCGCCAAAACGAAGAAGAATATAACAGTTGTTATAAATTAAATAGACATTGTTGCATGTCTAAGAACTTCAGTATATAATTCATATAATTCATATAACTCATCAATTATCACTATACAAGGCCAATATTATATTTGTCTATTTTTATAGCCAATTAATACGCTTGAAAAATTTTATACCTAAGGTAGACAATTATAATATGAGTCTATACTGTTTTTTAACGACATAAATGTACATATAGAAAATAAGTCGAATTTATAAAAAAAAAATTATATTATGCACTATAAATAAAATGCTATAAATAACTAAATATATCATTATATCTTTTTAAATAGCTTTACTTTTTAAGTGCCGAATACTTTATATTGGTTAGATTTCTGCTTTTAAGATTTATACACACATACTTTTGACATACATACATATATCTACTAAAAATGTAGAATTTTTATATTCCAATCTGAAGAATTATCTGAATTTCAGATTAATTTCACAGTTAAAAAAAGATATATAATTCTATTCTAACACTAAAAAGCAAACCACACACTAAAAAGGTACAAAAATGAATAGCAAAAATGCAAATATATTATATTAATAATCTTTAGATTGCAAATAAGAAGCGCTTAGTTTATAATTCATCGCTAGAGCTTACAAGCTGGATGAGGGAGGAGCATAATGACAACACCGTGAAACTTGTGGTTACCAGTCAAGATTTATTGTAAAAGGCGTGGAATTCTTATGTGTCAGGAATGTTTTCAAGAAAATGCGATCCTGTTCCGCGATCGGCAGCATTCTTTCGATCTCGAGAAGCACGTGGCAGGAGTGTCTGTTGTCGACGATCCACGATCTACGATCCTTGATTCATAATCCATGTGCAGGAGCGATCCACGTTCAGGAAATGCATATCTGCTGAAGTCCGGTAGTAGTAGTAGTAGTAGTAGTAATAGTAGTAGTAGCTGGCGACCGTTTTTTCTCGGCGTTAATAAAAACCTCACGTTATCGAAGTCTTCTCGCCTCGCGCTCGGACTCGAGTAAGGTTAGGAGGTCGCCCTCTCGTACCGGTCCCTTCACGTTCCTGATGATCTGCCGATTCTGCTCGCCCAGAAATTCTACTTTTACCTGGGTGCACTGCCCCTGCGAGCCAGTGCGACCCAGAACCTTGATTACGCGCGCCAAAACGACTGGTTTATCCATGATCTCTTTCTCACGTGGACTGTGACTCGAAAGAGATATCTAATGCAAATGGAAGAAGCACGTATAGACGAACCGCTTTTCTCCGTTCGATTTCCGGATTTCCGGTGAGTCGCTGCTATCCAAATACGTAATTTTTGAACGAAAATGGAATCACGCATAAGTTCACTTTTATTCGTAAAAATGAATGTGTCGAATGAAACAAAAGGATTAAATATTAATGAAATATTAGAAAATATTTGTTGTATATTATTGCAAGAAATTTATTGAATTTACTATGTTGTCTTTATTTATTCGAACGGAAAAAATAATGGTCTCTTTTATTTATGAGTAATAATAACAATTAAAACTACAATAATTTGTTCGCAATTTTTAATTAATTTTCTTTTTTATTAAAATGGTCGACATCTCGTTGAATTTTTCATTGTTAAAATATGATGTAAAGTCTTGTCAATATTAAATTATTAGTATTGTGAAATTTATTGAATTAAATTTTAAATATACTTATATACATCTATATCTTAACATTTTTATTAAAATTTTAAAATTTTTAATAAAATTTTTAACTGCTGGATAGAATTAACTGCTTGATGAAACTAATGCTGTTATATCTTTCATATGTGTTAAATTTCATCATATAGTTAAATATCTAAAAATATAAATCTAAAAAAATATCTAGAAATATAATTAAATATCTAGAATATATGGATAACGCATTTTATTTTTATTAGAATTATTCTCACAAAGGAGACGGAATAACGTATAAATCAAATAGTGCTGAGTGCAACGAATTGTGTGGAGCACAAAAATTATTGTGCTATTTTGTGTACATAATAAATATGTTTAAAATGATTCACAAAATAATTTACCTGTTTTTTTAAAAAGACGTTAATTAATTCTTTTTAATTTACCAAATTTTTTGTTATCATGATAAATCGTGTTAACCTAAGAAATTTAAAATTATTGAGAATACCAGTAACTTATTGGATTTAATATCTTTTTAAATGCGTCTGTTATGTCACAAGTTTTATTCATCTCGCTTAACAATTTCACGAGTGATAAATAATAGAATAATCAAATTACAATAAAATGTCGTTATATTTTGACACAAATACACTATTTCATAATTACTTAATATAATAGTAATTCATATAAATAACATCTTGATACTGTAGGCAACAATTAAGATGAGCTTCCTTAAGTCCCTCTTGGTATAGCTTTCACTGATTATCAGGAATCACTTAGAATGATTTATTTTTTTATTTATATTAACTCAAATACTTGCCAAAAATACTGCATTTCGCTATACCCATATACAGTGTGTCGCGTTTTTTTCTCGACTACAGGTTTCTTAGAAATTAAATTTGGGCTTTTTCGTATTGACAATCACATCTCACATTAAAAGTAACGTAAAATCAGAAGAATAAGGCTATTATTTCATTCACATTCCTGAACTTATAATTCATTACGAATTACTATAATCCTAGTTATAGAACCTGTAAGAAAAAGCGCACAATGCTTAAACAGTCTGTATAATCATCATTATCGATACTTTGAAAGACAGATTGTGATTATACATCTAAGTATAGTAGTGCCTCCCACGTATTAAATCATACTGAACAATGTATTAATAAAAAATGTTGCTCGTAAAATGTTTCATGATAGTATACAGAAAAACATAATTAATAATTTATTATATAAATTATATATTATCAAATTATTTGCGATCGCAAAGATTTCCTAAAAATTTTCTTTTCCAAAGAACATTTTATACATAATTTTTATGCATTATTTTTCAATTTAACTTAATTAAAATGTGATATATCCAATCAAAATGTTCCAAAATTCTTAGCACCAATATATGACTTATGGATTTTTCTCATATTTCATAGATATTCATAATAAATAAATTGCTGAACTATTTAAATCTCATTGTCGCAACAGTAATATATTCTATATCTTACGCAAATGTAAAAAATGCGTTATATCTCGCATTCATATTATTTTGTATTTATTTACTATTACAGAATAAATGTGGACACATATTGCACGTGTCGAATATAATACCTTAAAAATAAATTGAAAATCCAAGTCTTTTCACGTCTTTAACAAAATTCATACATATGCAATGTACATCTTTGAATCAACGTTTGAAATCGATATGGCTTAAGTGAATTCCATTTTTCGATATCATTCCATACGAGAAAATGTGCTTCATGTTATGTGCTGAAGTTTTCATTTTATCGAATGAACTCACAAAAACACATAGCAATTCTAGCAATCAAATTCAAGCTAATAAAAATTATACTGTTTTCCACTGATTCGAATGAATGCTTTGTTATATTGAAAATGGACCCTGACATATATATTTCAATTGCAATTACAAAAAGCTTTCATTGTAGCAACATAATTTTCACCATGAGGTATATATTTAGTATCACACAAATAACTTCTTACATTCATTCAAAGACTTGTTTTATTTTTAGTTTTCTTTTCCAGTTTCTTTTTTCTCAACAGTAATGTTGAAAGCTGGTGGAGGCTTCCAAACAAAAATATGTATCTACTTGAAGCTCTATAAACATTGACGAATTATGTGTTGAGACAACAATCGAGTATAATTTTTCTTTTTTCATTTTAGTGTCTCCGTCGTCAGTTCTATTACTTTCCAAAGCAATGTCCAATCGAAGGACATGGAAATGTGTTATTACATTGGATAATAAACTGTCGACATTAATATGCAACATTGAATGAGATAATCAGGCTAACAATATCCGCAATAATTTTACTGCCATAAGTTTGTGGAAAGGGTCTGCCCAGGTAGTGTGGCAGCAGCAGGCTTGCCTGTAGAGGCAAAATTCATATCGCCCAGAGACATCTGCGACATTTGTTGTGGCAACTGTAACATCATGAATTATGTCAAAAATAAGACTAATTTGACCTAATGTAAATCACAAAGTATTACAAAGTTTTGACAAAAATGTATTGTATATTCATATCTTGTAGAAATTATATATATATGATTATAAATTACATAAAGCATTTAAAATTTACTTGAGCGGTAAATGCAGTAGTTTGTTGTTGCTGTGCTGTTAAATTAAAGAAGGGATTGCTACCGGGAGCTGGTTGAATATTCTGTGTCAGCATTCCACTCCATCCATTATTACTAGCAATATTACTTTGTCCTAACTGCATCATCTGTGAAATCGGAGAAAAAAAATTCGAAGTATAAAAAGCATGAATAATTACAAACATATTTAGCAATATCATGTAAGAAATATTACATACCATTTGAGGTGGCATTGAGATAGCAGCATTAGGTACACCATTTAATTGATTCATTGGACCTATATGTAAACCTAAAGGATTGGCTGCTACAGCACCTATCGTGTTAGGATTTGCTATAATTTGATTTTGATTGACAGGTATCTGATTTGCGATCGGTATTTGCGTGGGAAGTTGACCGAGTTGACCCAACGAACTTTGTTGTCCAAATACACCCACATTAGGCATTTGCTGTTTATATGGTATAGAATGTTGAGGATACACTCCCCCTGAAATATATCATATTTAAAAAAATGTAATTTAATTATAAAATTTCATTAATGCATATATCATTTTTGTCTTACAATACAGTACCTGAGACACCATAAATAGCTGGTTGATGACTCGGAGTACCATATAATGCTAAAATACTGTCTTTTGTCATCTTGCTTTTTTCCTGAGGTAGCGGGGTCGGTTGATTAAAGAAGCTCTCCTCTTCACTTTTACTTGCAGTAGTAGTTGTTTTACTTCCATTAGAATCATTTCCAGTTAAAGCTACTGAAGCAGGTGGTGCAGACAAAAAGGAAGAAAATACATCGTCCCCAGAACCATTTACATTTGTTTGGTTAGTTGTTGGCGCATCTGTTAAAAACAACGTGAAATGTATCATATGTTAGAAAACATAATTCTATAAATTATTCAGAGTATATCATAATTCATACACAAGGAATGTACAATGCGGTTCTTTGTACAAGAAGCAACTTCTTCCTATCTCACAATTGTATTTTTGTTACAAGAAAAAGTTGCTTCTTGACAGAGAACCACATCATGAATTTCTGGGACATTCTGTACACATACCAAGACCTAAGAGATCAAGGATTGCAGAATCTTTTGTTCTGCCCAGTTTAGGACTGACGGAACTTCGAGGTTTTGGCAATTGAGGCACTACTTCCGGTTTTTTTACAGGGGGGAGTACAGTAGTCGTAGCTTCCGAATTTTCCTTTTTTCGTCTGCGTTGTCTTTCGGCTTCTTCATCAAGTTCTTTATCCCAATTTACCTATGAAAATTATTTATTAGTTAAAGCAATAAATATAATCTTTTCTGCAAACATATATAAAATTCAATGTGTGTATGTGTGTGTGTGTGTGTGTATGAAGTGTAAAGAAATTGATATTTTATTTTACATATATTATGCGCGCGCGCGCACGCGTAATTATGTAAAATAAAATATCAATTTCTTTACACATTAAACGTTTATTTATATATATATGTGTGTGTGTGTGTGTGTGTGTGTGTGAGATAATTATATATTAACAAGAGGAATATCAGATATGATTTAGTCTTCCCTATTTCATCCTAAAATTATAAAACGTGTTTCTCAAGCATTCATGAGAAAAAAGCATTAAAACATTTTCTTGTTATAGGAATGTAAAATTTTTTAATTATTTTTCTCATGAATACTTAAAAAGCATGTCCCATAATTTCAACTTCTATTATATATTATTATATTGTATATTAAATTCAGTCAAATTGGAGCAGGTGTTTGAAGGAATGTCTGGTGTTGGAAGGAACACTAAATGTAGCCTCCCTCTACTTAATAAATTTTATAAGAAAAAAGCGTGTTAAAAAATTTTACATTATCACTATATAAATTTGACGTTAAACTTGATAAATTTATTGAACTATTATACATATAAAATTCAACAAAATTGGAAGGAGCCAATGTCTGATGTTATAAGATAAATATTATAAATTAGGATATCAATATTATAAATTAGGATATCAAATATTAAATTAGGATATCAAATATTAAATTAGATAAATATTAAATTAGATAATCACATACTTTTGGTAAAGGAGGTGGCACCCATTCTCTAGCTATATATTTCTTATGTTCATATTTTGCCCGAATAAAACTTTCCAGACTACAATCCGTTTGAGGTCTTCGAAAACTATCTGGAAGATTGGCTTCATAGACTGCTCTAGCTCGAGAATTGCCCATTTGTTGTAAACTCTAGAAATTTTAACGAGATTCATTATGTAATTGAATTAAAAAAATATATGTAAAGCCTTAAAAAAATATTCAAAGATGAAGCTTATAAGAAAAATAATCTTAAATGTGATACAAAAAAATTATAAAAATAAAAAAGTAAAGTTTTTCCATAGAAAAGCAAATATTAAAAATTATTTACATCCATTTCTTTGTAAAAGATTAATTGCATTTCAGAATTGATGAGTATACATTTTTAATTGTTTTGATATAAAAGTTTAACAAATAAACAAAATCATCCTTTATTAAAAAACTATAAATCATATGTCTGCTACATACCACAACTTGTTCCGGCGTCCATGTATCTAAATTAACAGACTTGACTTTACTTATATGTACTCCAAGATTTCTATGAATACCAGCACATCGAATACACAAGAAAATTCCCAAATTCCAACTAGCCCATCTTGGTCCTGCAAAATGCAAATTCATTGAAAGTATAAATAATTCTTATCTCTCAAACATAAAGACTCCACTTAGACTCGCAAATACAATGATAAAATTTATCAATAAAAATGCTTCGTTGAGCTATCTAATATTCATGATTATTAATTATAAATTCTCAATGTTCGATGACATATCAAATCATATAATAGAGGCTTTTTTTTTTCATGAATCCTTAAAAGAAGACATAAAAACGAGCTCGTTTTTTAATTTTCGAGATGATAAGTGAAATGAACATGAAATTTGGAAGGACCATAATGATGTTATCGAATGATCAGCGTGCTGATAGGTATGTCATGCAGAAGTTAAAAATCCATAATATCTTAGCGCATTATACAGAATACGATTGCATTGCATAGGTCGTTTCATGATCGATATCGACGAGTCGAATCCAGGAACGAGCACACTTGGACGGCACAAAGTAAAGAACGCATACGAAGGATTCATCGAGGACGACTTCCCAAAGGGGAAACGCATTCATGTCATGGGTCAAGAAACAAACCTTTCGCGTCGCAGTCGACACAATACTTATTATCCTCGTCGCGAAGCATCTGCGTCAGCAGATTTTGACATTTCTCCTGGATCTGCTTGGCACGCTCCTTTTCGTGACGGGACGTCATTCTCGCTACTGACAGCGTCTTCGCGAAGGGATCGGGGACCACGCGCGACCGCGACACCCCGGTGTCGCCTCCCCGTGATAACGCTGGACAGGAGCGTGACACAACGGTACCACGTAGTGGATTTCGCACCGCGTTGATCCCATTGGCCCCGATGACAGTGCCGCGCGATTGCTATGGAATCATTGTGGCTGTAGGTAAATTTTGTTGTTATCCAACGGGAAAACTTATTAACTTACCGACCGATTGCAATTACCATTATTTAGGGTGGTATTCATAGTTCCGTTCTTATTTCAAGACTGTCTTAAGGCTACGTCACAGTATAACTACATAATTGTACCTACGTTCCAAAATATTTCTCTCTGAGCAATATTTTACTCTATATACTATATAATACGCATATTACGTGCACCAAATATTTCGAGTGTCAAAACAGGTCACATGATCAAAATTGATGCTTGGTATTTCGTCAATTTGGATCATGTGACCTGTTCTGAATGCTTGACGCTGAAAATGAGCGTCGAGCGTTAGCATGAAAAAGCATCTTAAGGCTGTGGTTAAAGTCTCGTAACAAATGCTTTGAAACGTTTGATGGAAAACAATTAGAAGAAAGAATTTTTCATTTAAAATAAGAAATTGCTTTCGAAAACTTATTTAAAATAAAAGAAAAGTTATTTTTCTATTTTAAATAAAAGTTATTCTGTATTTTAAATAAATTAATGTATTTTCGGTCCTATTTCTTCTTTTTTTTTATATTTTTAAATACAATAATTTCTTGTGAACTATTTCTTATTTAATATTTTAAATAAGTTCTTGGAACCTATTTTATATTTTTTATTTCAAATAAGTCGTATCAATTACTTTATCGACTCTCACGATTTTATATTTTAAATTTTTAAGTTTTTAAAATTTATTTTTTATTTTAAATAAGTTATATCGATTATTTTACCTGAGTATAAGATATTCCATAAGTGTTAATATTTTTATACAAGTTTTTTTATACAATATAAAATGTCTCTCGCTTTTGCTACTGCCGCCGGAAAAAATAGCGACTTTACTTACTTTGCTACTTACTTTGCTTAATGATTTCTTAAAAACGAATACCGGAAGCCATATTCAGACAAATTTCATATTATTCCTCGTGATATCAAGTTTTATGTTTCATTGCTTCAAAAAATTGTTAAGAAAAAGCTTTTTTTTACAGTGAATAAAAAGACCACTTTTGAATAAATTTTAAATAGGAATCCTATGCTTCAACTTTAAAGTGGAATATCTCGATTTTTAATCCCGCTCCGGGTATTGAGTTTTTAAATATATATATGTTTAGGACACTAAACAAGCTTTTTCTGTAAGTTAGAAAAATAAAAAAAAAATTGTTTTTTCGGAGAACGTCCTTAAGCCTTGTGTCCACGATGCTAGAAATCGATCCAAGATCTCGAATGAAGAAAGAATTAACCAATCGCAATGATCATGTGATCAAATTGTTCAAATGCGATTTGTCAATTCTTTCTCTGTCCAAGATCTCAGACCAATTTTTAGTATCGTGGACATTGGGCTTGATAGCGAAGTTTTTTGATGTATTCTTCCAGATCTAAAATCCTGATTGGATGATCTAAAAGAATACACCAATATAACAGCGAGCGTTCACTTAACTGTTGAGTCCGCTGAACGCAGCTATTGTCGCCGCACTCGATGAGCATGCATTTGGCGCAGCAAACCGGATGGATTCGCGCTTATTCAGCAATCTTTAAAAATTAATAACTTATTAACTTATTATGAAGTTTGCAAAAATGATAGTGAGCTTCATCAGTTTAATCTGTCACCAGCCCAGACAGCTAATGCAATTATTATATATGAGATACTCTATATATTTTGACATAACCTTATATTATAAAACATATTCACACATATTTATAATAATAGAGATATTGACATTGTAGAGATATTGACATTGTAGAGATATTGACATTGTAGAGATATTGACATTGACTAAATATTCAAGGATCTTTTGGGAAAACAAAAATCATATATGTTGATATATTATTAACGGCTAATAATATATTGTAATGGTACTCGTCGTATCGATAACTATAATAATTAATTAAACTGTAATCCCTACGAATCAACTGTATTTCAATCTGTACGTGGATGTAATATACAAAGTAAGTTAAAAATAACAATAATTAAATAGTTTATTTTTTTGTTAAAGTATATACACATACATATATATATATATATATATATATATGATTCTATTAATAAAAATTATTTTTTCCTACTCTTTCTATTTTTATGTTTAAAATATTATAACAATTTTGGAAGGCATTTTATTATAATTATTTGTTTTCTTTTTAATTAAAAATCGCAGACGTAAAACAAGTATTGTCATGAGATTCCTAAAGTTGTTACTAATAAATTTTGATATAATACTGACCATAAACATGGTCTTTTGTTTCAATGATAATTTAAAAATTATTCGTTTACCCAACAATGCGAAACCATTGCATTATAAGATTAATCTGATAATACCGCATCTCGAGGAAATCAACTCTGTCTTTTATGGTGAATCTACCATCGATATCATAATTTATCGTGCAACGAAAAACATAAGCTTACACTCAAGAGGATTAGAAATAAATGAAATAGAGACAACATTGGTCGAATTCAAGGAACACAATTCTTATACATTTTATAAACCGATAAAACATTTTTATGACAATGTAACGAATATTTTAACACTTTATTTCGAGAATACATTATTTGAGGGAATTTACAGTCTTAATATGAAATTTTCTGGCATTATATTTGAGACTGATCTTGGAAACAGAGGTTTTATGAAATTTCCGTACACAAATGAAGAAAAAAAAACCGGCATGTAAGTTAATATCAAAATATGAAAAATATGTTTACAATGTCTGACATGAGCAGAAATTTATTGACATTTAAGATATTTTTAACCTTAACTTTAGCTATATACATTTTTTTTATCCTTAATATACACATTTAAGTCTCTGGGATCCCATCCATATTTGTTACCGTAAAACTGCCGTAAAAATGGATATATTTTAATTATTTTTTTTTGTGATCAATGGAGAATTAATTAAGGAATAAGTCCATGATGTGTAAAAGTCGATAGAATTAAGGAACTCCGAGATATATCCCTATAAAAATCACGTCACACAATTGCATGATGAAATCATGTAATTAAAACATGTAAATAACGTAACGGATTGTTCCAAATCAGTGATTTTAAAATTACGTATTTTGAAAAGTCATATAATATTATGTTCTTTTTTCTTCTACATCCATCGGTCAATTCTTTAAAATTTGATAACTAAAATCACATGATGGATTAAATTATTTGTAATATCATATGATTTTTCAAATTACATTGATTTACACATTGTGACATGATTTTTTTCAAGGGATAGGTTTAAAGAAAAAAAAAAGTTTAGAAACACAAAAAAATTTCGATTTAGCAAATTGCATTGAAGTTTCCGAGACCCCAGAAACGTATAACTAGAGTTAAATTATAGAATGGCTGCAACATATTTCGAACCGAATGGAGCTAGGCAAGTATTTCCGTGTTGGGATGAGCCAGAGTTGAAAACTATTTTCAACATTTCTGTAATGCATCATCAGAAATATTTAGTATTGTCAAATATGGAAATACAAAAACAAGTGATGGGAAAAGATGACATGATACAGACATGTTTTGACTTCACTTCTCCAATGCCTACTTATCTTGTAGTGATTGTTGTAATCCCCAAATGTGATTTTTACCATCGTTCCAACTATAATCAGACTGTCAATATATGGTGTAGTCCGTCTTTGTTATCGCAAGTAACATTTATTTACAATATTACTGAAAAAGTCGTGCCATTTATGATTCAATATACCAATAAATCCGAGGAAATATCGAAAATGGATCATGTTTTGATACCGAATTTTCCAGTTGACAGTATGGAAAATTGGGGACTCATCACTTACAAGTAATATATATTTTAATTAAAAAGAAGTTAATGATACTATTAAAGCTATAGCAAACGTTTTTTTAATATTCGAAATTTAGTAATTAAAAAACAGTATTATGAATAATGTAATTATTCAGGAATATTTTAGATTATATATATTCATAATAGGAATATTTTATATAATTATATTATTCTATGTTTCAGTGAATTTGATGCTATTTATAATGATAATAAACATTCAATATATAAGAAAATAAAAGTAGCAAAAATAGTAACACATGAACTTATACATCAATGGTTTAATTTGGTTACTCCAATTTGGTGGTCTTACTTGTGGTTAAAAGAGGGATTTGCTACCTTCTTAGAATCGTACATCATTGACAAGGTTATTTAATATTTATAACATGTATACATATAATAAAAGACAAAGATTACATAGCTTAATTATTGCAAAATAAAGAACTTGAAATATATTTTAAATTAAGAATAAGTTCAATGCCAATATAAAATTAGTACTATATTTTTATACAATATATCAAGATGATACTGAATACATAATAGCTTGTTATTTAATTAGAATTCCATAAAAATCGTAACTATTCATAATAGTTATAACAAATAATTAGGTTTAAAGATATTTTAATACAAATTCATATTGAAAGTTAACCCTAGTTGTAACACACTCTCTGGGATCCCATCTATATTTCTTCTGTAACTTCTGTAAAAATGGATATATTTCAATTAACTTTTTTTCAATCGATGAAGAATTAATTAAGAAACAAATCTTTATAATGTGCAAAATTCGATAGAATTAAGAAGCTTCGAGATACATAGGCTCCAAGAAAAAGAAAAATACGAAAAAATCTTGATTTAATAAATTGCATTGAATTTATGGAACCCCAGTGTGTATTGCTAGAATTAATATTCTGTTTTTTATATTTAAATATTAGTATATGGGAATAGTAAGAATAATGCAATAGTTTAATTAGAAAATTTTACTCTATCATAATCAATATTTAGAAAATAATTTAATAAAATAATAAAATTCAACATTGTAGGTTTTTATATCTTGAATTAATTTTTATATTGAGTAATTTCCAACATTTTCAGAAATAATTAAACTATGCTTGCCTTGAAGACGATTTAATATGAAAAAGATAATAGAATTTGTAGGTATTATGAAAAAGCAAAATAACGAAGTTGAAGTGACGACAAATGATTATTTTAATTTCTAATGTAAAAGCTTTCTTCAAATTTTGTATATTGAGTCACATCAAAGAATTTTTTTCTTTAGATTTTTGAAGGTTGGCGAATGATGGATCTTTTTATGATTTGGGCCTTACAAACTTGTTTGACGATAGATGTTGGCTCATTGAACTCTGTCACATTGAAACTGAACAGTACTTTTGATGATATGTCGCAGTATTCTATTGAACTTTATGGAAAAGGTAAAAACGTAAAGATGCACAATAAAATTATATTATTCGCAGACTTCTTATGTATATGTAATACACAAAAGATAAAAGAGAAGATTAAAGGAAATAAAATCTTCTTTTCACACAATACATATATTTATGTAATATACGTATATAAAGTATTATATGTTTACCTTGGATCTCAATTTTATATGTACTTTAAACACACCTACTTTAAATGTTAATTGGTGTTTTATTGTACAATGTATTGTAGCTCCAGTTTTATTACGCATGTTACATCATATGGTTACTGATGAGGTATTCCAAAAGGGTCTAATCACGTATTTGGACAAGAAGTAAGTGTTTATAATATAGTCTAACGCATGTAATTAATATTTATTATAATTATTAAATATAATAATAAATATAATAATGCTTTTTGTATTCATGTTGAGAAGTATTGTATTTTATCAGAAACATGAATTTAGGTTCCCAATATCACATTGCTATTAAATTTAATTACTACAATGAGTTAATCACTTTTATTAGTCGATATAGCTCAACCACTCCGGATGATTTGTGGAGCGCCATGCAAAGTGCTCTCGACAAATCTGATGTCTGGCACGACGGTTACAGAATAAAAGAAGTGATGGATACATGGATAAACCAAAACAGTTATCCTGAGGTGGATGTGCAGCGAATAAGCAGCGAAACTAAGGACATAATGACATTTTCTCAAAAATGTATTTACAAACAAGAAACTAATAAATGTATTAATAATACATGTATTAATAATACGTGTATCAATGAATGGTACATACCCTTAACTTTCGCTACGAGATCCAATCCGGATTTTTCCAATACTGTGCCCAAAGCCTGGTTACGACCAAATAAAACGTCCATCCGCCATCTACTTAAACGAGAAGATTGGATTATTGTCAATATACAACAAACTGGTAAGAATGCTTCAATAAATTAATTGGTTTTATTTTATTGTAACGTAGGCTTTACATCATTCTCTGTACATATATTTTTTAAGGAAGGACAAAAATAGGGCTTTAAATCCGCGTTTGAATTTTCTATTTTCGACACGCAAATTTTCTTAATTTTTTAATTTCTTAATTTACATATGAAATTAAAAGTTTTTTGCAATATCTTTGTCTTACTTTGAAAAGCTACAATTTGATGAATCATCATCAAATATTTCCAAAGTTTTGGTCAGAAACTGTATATTTCAATAGATTTAATTTAAAAAAACTTTGTAATAAGTATAACGAATAATTTAACAGGATACTATCGTGTCACTTATGATATCTCTAATTGGCAAAAAATTTCATATTATTTAAATTTTGAGAATTACACGAATATACACTTTCTTAATCGTATTCAAGTCATCAGCGATTTATTTGCCTCTGTGCTGAATGAACAAATAAGTGGATCCGTCTTCATTAGTCTTATAAAATATCTAAATCGAGAGAAAGATATTGTGGTATGGCATTCATTGTTCCCAATTATACAACGATTGTGGAAATATTTTTTCCTGCCAGAGGCCGCACATATCAAGGTAGACGAATAGATTCATAAAAGGGATAAAGACATATATATTTTGTAGTATTAAGCCAAACCTATAATGGCATAAATGTATAGTTATAAGTAGTTGTAAGAATTCTTCAATCACAGTTGGATATTTTCTTCGTATTCAATTGTAACTGATCGGTTCTTACAACTGTAACTACGTTTACGCAAAATTGAATGCAGATATATTCAATAATTTTCGTACAAAAGAATGTATTGGGTTAAGTAATGAATAAAAAGTAATTTTGTATTTTTAGATTCAAATGTCACCTAAAAATACGAAGTTACTTTTTACTTAATCCAATAATACATATATTGATAAAGCAAAATATATATATATAGAGGATTATATATTTTTACAATTACTATTAAACCATTACAATATATCAATACATGATTTGATGATTCTTAGACAATCATGACGTCACTCCTTGGCAGTTTTCTTCAGAAAATAGGCTTCTCAGAAAGTTTTCATGATGACGATATGATAAAACTGACAAGGCTAGATACTATAGAATGGGCATGTACTCTCGGTGAGCGGTATTGCAGGAATGAGGCAGCCATCAAATTAAGCGAACATCTCATGAATCCTAATATTTACAAGTAATTTTTCTTACGATTACGATTCTTTCGTAAATTATCTCTATTTTATAATATGCACATGTCCGCATATGAACGTATAGTTGATTCTTTAAAATTTTTTAAAATCATCGATATCAAATATTTTCCTTATTGTTTCCTTTCAAGCCATTTTTATTCAAATAAGGTAACTCACAAAATAGCAGCAGAAAAAGCATGTTGCAGCTATTGTAAGGCACATTCAGTAAGTCATTAATAATCAAAAGTTAGAAGCTATAAATTAACCAATCATATATTACGTTTACATGGCTCGAATTACGTCAAAATTATAATATCGATATTATGAAGCTGGTCAATCATAATTATTCCTCTGAAGAATGAATGTGATTGATCAGTTTCATAACACCAATGTTATAACTTCGACGTAAATCGATCCATATAAACGTCATAATCGCGAATGTGAAAAGATTAATTAATTATGATTTTTAGCTTTTGATTTCTGATTTATTACTAATGGCTTATTGTGGATTGTGTGTGAGATTCTTTAATGTAATTGTTTTATACACTTAGATCTGTAAGAAATTAAAGATAAAAAATCAATTATATCAAAAGAATCTTTATCACAGTTAGAAAAGTGCTTTTTTTGCTGAACGCCTAATGAATATATCGTTGAGTATAAGATAAAATATCTAATAAATTAACTAGCATTATAATTGAGTTTCTTTTATTTATGTTTAATTTGTAACACTGTAATATAATCAAATAGTGATGTGGCGAAGTGAAGTAATGATTACTTAATAAAAGAATATAAAAATACGAATCTTGATAAAATAAAAAGTCCGCTATATGTATGGAATGTATCATTTCTTGATAGATATATACGTATTTTAGATTTCCTCAATGGACGCAAAAATTTATGTATTGTACTGGTTTGATGACAGCCAATAGAACTACTTGGGATAAAACATTGATATTATATCAATATAAAAATTTAAAAAAAAAAAAATTGGAAAACAATTTAAAGGAATATCAAACGAGAGAAAGATTTGTAAAACTCTTATTAAAAGGATTGAGTTGCGCTGAAGATTCTAATATCATTATCAACTTTTTAAATATTACAGCATTCAATCCTACATTATTTAACGAAAAGGAGCGTTATTTTGCCGTCCTGTGTATTCTTGAGAATCATTCGCGCAACAATTTGATCCTTGACTACATATTAAACAATTTTGAGACTGTAAAACCTAGGTAATAACATTTCTCGTGGTAAATATACTGTCTTCTTAATTACAAAATTTGCTTAATAAAGGTATTATTTTGTTTTATAGGTCAATGACTATAACTGCATTAGTAACAATTATTCTTTCGAATGTTTATTCTTATCAACAAATTTACACGGTAAATTTTATGATTCTGGATTTACGTATATATTAACTTAATATTGACTATCAATAATGTTGCTATAGTCCGATTTAAATGAAAACCGTTTGTCATGCGGAAGTATAATTTAACGCAACTTTAGATAAGTCAATTAATATTAATAGATTTAATTATGTTTGTATCTTTAAATTAAGTACTTGCATTTTGAGATAAATCTTTTTCTAAAATCGAATAATGTGCTTGTGCATTAAACTATAAATTGAATTTTTATAATTAACGAATTAATATTAGACCGATGTTAATTAAAAAATGTTGAGAAAATTTTTAGAAAATCATCAAATCATAAATTAATTATTTCGAATACATATGTGTATATATCCAAAAGACATGTATACATATAAAGTTTGATAATTAACGATAAAACTTTCGCATAAGGATTGAGCAAACTAAATTAAATCGAAAAGTCCTCTACTATTTTACAATTTTTGCAATAGTTAACAAATTATTAATTATTAAATATCGCTGAATATTGGTTTTCAATAATTTTTTATTCGAGTACTATCAACTTTACAGAGAAACAGCAGGTGACAAAAATTGTTTATTTTCTTCTCATAGAATTTCGATTCGACTCTAAGAATTTTCTCAGAATTTCAGTCGCATTTTTTCATATTGATAAAAATAGTTGTCAATATAAAAAAAAATGTAATAAAGAAAAGGTTGATAAAAAATTCTGAAAAAATTCTTAGAACTCTATAAAAAGAAAATAAACAATTTTTGTCTATTGATGTTTTTCTATAAAGTTGATAATAAAATATTATTGAAAACCAATATTCGATGATTTTTAGTAATTGATATTTTGTTTACTATCACGAAAATGTTAAAATAATACAGAACTTTTTAACTCAGTGCGCTCTACCTCTATGCGACAGTTTTATCATTACTCATTAAACTCCCTGTATAAAAGACAATTTTTTTCTAGTATATATATATATATATATATATGTATACTTCAGCAATAAACAATTAAGTTAAATATATTATTTGTGCTTAATATATATTTATTTGTTAAAGTTATGTTAAATTAAAAACTATATTTTATCGAAAATTATGAAATATATAAATAAACTACTAATTATTAAACTTCTCGAATTACAATCTGTTTCAGGTAAATGAATTCGCCAAAAATAATATTCAAGATACATACATTTTGAATAAAATTCAAATAATGATAAACAAACGTAGAGATATACTAAAGGAAAGCATAGACACGTTTAACAGACAATTTAATTAGTATAGGGATCGGATTTAATCGTCCAAAAGAAAATATATTATAAAATATATATTTACTCACAGAACTAAAAATATTATTCTTATATATTACTTAATTGTGAATAATTTTTTATCCATCTTTAAATTATTTATAATATGTTCAATGTTTTTATAATATTTTTAGTATTTTATTAACAGTTTAGAAGTTGTTAATAAAATCTTTTTTTGACATATTGATCTTCTATAATTTAGAAATGATTTATATAATATTATATAATATTAGATGCTCTCTAATGTTATTTGTAAAATATTTTTATAAATGTATAATAATTATTCTGAAATATATTATACATTTAATACACAGAAAAACTTGAGAAATATCTTTCTTTAAACATCTTTATGATTTCACCAAAAGATGTCTTTCAGACTTTTAGAAAGTCATCTGAAAGTTATCCTCTTTAAGACATTTTTTGGAGAGCATGTACAGTAACACTTACTATTTACAGCAGCAATTATAACAGTTATTGAGTAAAACATATTTGTAGAAGCATTCTATCTGCTTAAATCAGCGTAAATTTATTGATAAAACAAGATATCTTTTTTACAAATTTTAAAAGATAAAGTACCGACATTTTTGAATTATTAAGATTGGAAGTAATTAAATTATTAAAATAATTTAAGGTTAGAGAATGTACTACACATGCGCTTTTAGACACAAATTTGATTTACGACCGTGAAGAAAAATACTCATATTATATAAGGTACGCTGTCATGTTGTGGACAATTTAATGTACCATCATTATTCACAGTTTATTTTAAAAATTTCGACAATTGATTACACATATAAGCAATAATGTTCTTATATTTATAATGTGTCGTATTTATTTTGATATCAGCAAATATACAACAAATATAAAAAAAGCATTTGAAAGCTTGAAATCGCTACTTTTGAAATTAGTAATTAATATTTCAATCTGATTGATTCTTTACGGAGATGTGTGGACACAAATAGATACTCGTCAAGTCTGAAAATTTTTTACAAACTTTACGAAGATCTATAGCATGAAATAAAATTTACGCAAAAAATGATAGAAAGCTTCTGCTCAGTTTAATCTGCTCCATCAACTCAGACAGCTGATGCAGTTATTACATACGCGATACATCTTAACACGATCTTATAGCATATTTACATGACATATTTATAATAACAGTATATATATATATATATATATATATATATATCTGTGTAATTGAAAAATAATTTATATTATCAAGAGACACAGTAGTGTCTCGCGCCAAGTATACGCTTCCGTTCTGGTACTGAGTATAATATTAGACGCTCTCTGATATTCTTTGTAAATATTTTTGTAAGTGTAGTAAATCTGGAATATTGTGTTTGGCACAGAATAAAATTCAATAAATTTTTTTGCTAAGACGCCTTTATGACTTTACTAAAAGATATCTTTCAGATTTGCTTAAAAAATGTCTGAAAATTGCGTTTTTTAACACTTTGGAGCTTATACAGTGATATTTATATCATTGACTACATGCATATATGTATATTCATGTCTTCATCTTGTGCACATAATTGACTGATATCATAAAACACGCAAGCATGTTTATATATGTACACCCAGTAAAAAATCTTTATACATGAATATGTATAAAGAATGTTCTGACCAGCCAGCATGATTTTAATAATATTTACGCCAAGAAGCAAGAAAGCAGCTTTAGAGTTTCAAGACGGCGTTGCTCGAATGCCAAAAATAATTGAACTGGAGGCGAACTTCGCAGCTGGTTTGTTCCGCAGTAGACATACAGCCAATCCAGTGCCTGATCTGCCAGCGTAAGCTTTCACATATCTGTGCTTTTTATAGAGAATTAAAGAGATATGGAACATAACGTTCCATATTATAGAAACGAATAGCGCGAAGACTATAAAGAAAAAGGAAACGGACACGGCGAGTTTTTTATTCATGCCGAGTGTAGGTCAATGTTTCATCTTTTACTTCGTGTTAATGTTCATCGTATGCCTGGCTAAAGATGCTCACATGTGAGTTCCCTATTGCGTTGTAAAGAATGCAAATCATGGATGTGTTTTAAATAGATGTATTATAAATAAAAAGAAAATTAAAAAATTAGAAATATAGAATAAAAATATTAGAAAAATTAGAAAATAATATTTACATGCAAAATTATATTTAGAAGATTTGTTTTTGATTGTCTATTTGAACAAGTTTACATACGTACAATAGAGATAGACTAAACTAATTTGTTAATTAATTATTATATTTACTTTTATAGTGTATTTTAATTTGTACTGCTTATTATTATTCATATTTTTCGATTGTGATTCCAATTAAATCGGTGTGCTTTCCTGAATATTTAAATTAAATTGCAATTTCTTAACTTTCACTAGCGTGGCCAGATGGGCGGATAAATTGGGTACTGAGTTATGGGAACTCGCGAACGAAGTAAGCCGACCCGAGGAATTGTTAGAAGTGAGTATCCATATTTACTTGAGGTAACAAACTTCAGATACTAAGAATTCAAGAAATCTTTTCTATGCAAAATAACATATTTTTACTTAATTTTATCCAAACAAGAAAAAAGTCGAATTACAATATTTTTTTATAATATAGTTTTGCAAAAAGCATTATTTGTAAAAAGCAAATCTACATTTATTTTAATATTTAATTTGTAATTCATCATAGTGAATTTATTATAGCGAGAAGAAATATCTTATTTTTTAATGATATAAAATCCTTTATATAATTTTCGAAACATCTTTTTATATATTTCTAATATATGCGGATAAAACATAATAAAAAATAGTATCGTTAAATAAATAGTTATTAAACAAGTAGTAATTATTTTAGAAATACAAAAGCATGAACGCGCGAGTTGAAGATAAATCCGGAGAAGAGTTGATCAACATAATTAGCGAAAATGTAGGTAGGATGCTGCGTCGAAAGATGGACGCAGTTACCTGCATTCGAATAGCAGCCGAAGAGGCTGCGGAGAACTGGGACCCATCTCTCCTAGACGGCAACTTCTCCTACGTTTCCGGTAAATGTAGTCCTGTCATCGGTCATGATTCAGCAAACAAGAACTGTGACATTCACAAGGAGAATGTGACCGTGTTCAGGTAAGCAATTTGCTCTGCCTCACTGTACCTTTCTTCTCTTCAAATTGCCATAAGAATTATTATAGTTACGAAGTTATTACTCACAGCACACTTTATCCTGAGGATATTCCAAATTGTCCCATATGACAAAACGATACCATGGATATCCCATCCGGAATATCCAAAAAAAATATCGTAAAACATTTTAAGATATCACAAAATATTCTATTAATATCTTAAAATATCTTATCATATTCAAATCCTTCCATACAACACAGTTCTCCAAATATCCTATAGATGATTCAGAATAAGTAAAGGTTTGGAGAGTGTCAGAACTAAAAGATTAGAAATAAAAAATATGTCATAGTTATTTTGGATATAAACGATACGAAGTATTACATAACAATTAAGATATATCTCAAATGAAGCTTACAAAAATTTTTGTTATATTAAATGTTATACTAAGGCTGTATTCGAAAACAATACGCGGGTGCCCTTGTGTATCATTTTATCCTTGTTTAACATTTGATGAACAACAAGGACAAAACGATACATTCTACAAAGGCGCTACACTACAAAGGCATTCGGATAATATTTCCGAACGCAGCCTAAGAATATATATAAATTAAGAAGATATATTATTTTAAATTAATCTTTTATTTCATTATGTATAATAATAGGGCAATAACATATTTCTCGCTTTTATAATATAATATCCTAAAATATTTTCCTTTTATTTTATAGATAACAATCACATATATACACACGCATATATACTTGTGATATCTCTTGGAATTCCTTAGATATCTCACGGATGTCGTCTAAGATATCCGTGGGATCTCACACATGCGAACATCCCCTGGATATCCATTGGATATCACAAGATTATTGCGATATGACGTCCATTGAATATCTCTAGGATAAAGGTGCTGTATGAGTAAGATTAAAAGGCAAGAATTTTTATGAATTAAAACTGATTCATGCAAATGCAAAGTTATTATAATAACAAAAAATCCAAAAAAATCAGGGCGGATGAGAGTTATTATAGAATGTTATTATAATAGTGGAGAAACTCTTGTTATCATAAATATTAGACAACTAAGAAACTAACAAAGGTAATTCTTTTACTAATTCTATAGAATCTTTTTTATTTTTCTGTGCTAAAATGTGCTAAAATGTGCTAAATAAATTAAACTAACTATATAAAATCAGAAATAGGATATTGATTATTATATTACATTTTCCCGGCGTAAAAATATTTTATTATTGTAACGTAATTACACGATTTGTACGGTATTAGTCAAATTGTAAGATAAAAGGATCATAAAAGTTTTTTTTTGCAAAAAATATTTAATTCAAATCTATAATTTAAATACAAACCCCTATTTTCTACCCTATTATTATATCATTCTCAAACTTCTAGTTGTAAACATTTGTATTATATTTAAATTATAGATTTGAATAATGATTGAATGTTTTTCGCAAAAAGAACTAGCTTTTTATACTACTTTTATCTTATAGTTTGATTTATTTATAAAGCCTTTTTTAATTTGAATTTTATTATATTATAGAATAATAATTTTATATATACATTGCATAATGATTTATGAATTTAATTTTGAGTTTTGTTTCTGCTCAAATATAATATAATATTTTACACACAATCTCAAAGAGTAATTATTTGTACAAAATTAATTTAAAACAAAATTATTGTTAATAAGTATAAACAATAATGTCGAAAACAGAAAATAAATCACGTGAAATAAATCGACAAAGAGATATTACAAACTGATTCTAGAGATATGGAACTGATTTCGGACTCGCATTTCTACAACATTCCGGTAAATACGACTTACTCATCAGTTCATATACCAATCAATGTGTACGATCTCACGCAAGATGTAGCTGAAGATATAGCGAGAACTGAACCGTTGGACGATATATTTCGTCAGAATTACGAATCTGATCCGGCATTGTCGTGGCAATACTTTGGTACAGTCACTGGTGTACTCCGACAATATCCTGCTATGCAATGGCGAACGAATCTCAAAGACACCAATGACGATGATGATAACGATAACACAACTAATGATAATAATAATAACAATGTTAGCAATAACGAAGACATCGATGATGTTAATGATAATGATGACGACGATGATGATTCTCCTGCTGATCAGTACGACGACGATGATGATTCTCCTGTTGATGAATACGACTGCAGGTTACGTAATTGGTTTATCGAGGCGACCACATGCAGCAAGGATATGGTGATCCTAATGGACGTTAGTGGCAGCATGAAGGGCTTTGGAAAGACAATTGGTATGGGAGATTAGTTTTATTGAATTGGAAATATATAGCTAAAAATATAGCTTTTATATCAACTAATCAAGTTTTATAGAAAATCTTAAAGCTTTAGATAATCGAGACGATGAAACAAAAAATTTTTAATTAATATTTGTTATATTTAATTGATTTATCGCGACTGTTAATTTATAATTAAAAAATTGTAATTTAATATTGTTGAGAAGAGTGTATTAATCGCTTCGTCTTAATGAAATGATAATGTTATGGCAGCAAAGACGACAGTGAACTCGATTTTGGACACCTTATCGAACAATGATTTCGTCACACTGCTAAAATACAATAACGAGACGACCGATTTCGTGCCATGTTTTAAGGATATGCTGATTCAAGCCACTCCAGAAAATCTCGACACATTCAAAAAATCTATGAACAAAATTGACACAGATAATGTCGCTAATCTCACGGAGGCTTTCACTAAAGCATTCAGTCTACTTAAAACTTATCGGCAGAAACGCGGCTGTAACGCCGACTCACCGTGTAATCAGCTCATCATGCTTGTTACTGACGATGTTCCTGGAGGGACATTGGGGAATAATTTAAAGAAGGTTATATAACATAATTATTTGATTGAATAAACTTTTAATGCACTTTCTTATATTGAAACGTTGGTGAATTATTAAAAATCTGCTAAGATAAAATAAAACTGAATCTGTCCTCTCAGTAAACGAGAATAAATTGAAATGATTATTCATTTGAATCTATGAATACATTTTAATTCAACACGATGAATAGCTCTTTCATATTTTAATTTATTTCAATAAAAAAATAATAATATGATACGGACATGAATATGTCCATATCCCTAACAGCACAGACCCTCCATGGGACGTTCGTTAAGGACGTCCAAAAGATGTCCGTGTGTCCTTTGAACATCTTAAGGACATCCCCAGAATGTATCCCGGATAAAGTATATTATTAAGACTATATTCAACATGATATATAACTCATTTCATATTTCTATTCTATTTGAGTTCAAAAATACTTATGTTGTAGATAGATTAGCTATGAATACATCCCAGTTTAAAATTATAAAAATGTACATTTTTATTTAAATAAAAAAAAGGATAATTATTTAGAACAACCCCCCTCCCCTAGAATCTTAATAAAAATTAATGTATACATAGTGCTGTACCGAGTCGGGATAACAGATATCTCCTCTAAAGTCTCGAACTTTAACACTCATAACTCGATTCACGAGGTTACCATTACGGTTTTTCGTCAAATTCTTCCATTTTAAGTGAAAATGCGTCGAATGAATACATGTTTATTAAAATTCTACAGGGGAGGGGACCCGTATTCTAAATAATTACTCCAAAAAAAGTTATGACGGAAATGTGTCCTGATACCATATCTAATATATAAGTCCTAAATTTATATTCAAGTACAATATTCAATATAGGAATATTCCTGTTTCGAAGTGAATGTAAAAATACTATATATTTATAGAGAAGGAATTATAAATGTTATTATAAATTTAAAAGAATATTTACAGTCCAGCAAACGAGAATGAAATAATGAATTAAAATGGATTCAGATTTTCAAAAATACGGATTTATAAATATTAAAATAAATCCTGAATGTATTTTTATTCATTTATAGGAATTGCATAGAGCATATCTCTATACCTTTCAATCTAAAAATAATATTAGCATTTTCTGTCCACACAACACATCATGAATATTGCTCGATGCAAAATTGTGAATAGGAAATACAATTTTTCAATCCAATTAAATAAAAAAAGTTATTTAAAAATAGACCGTAAATGTATGCTACTTAATTTATTCAAAATGATAAATAGGAAATTTTTTGTTTTTATCCAACTAATTATTCGAAAAAGTTGTAACGTAAAAATAAATAAATTGAGCTATGTTCTTTTATTTCTTTTTGTTTATGAATTTAAAGTACGCATTCAAAAAATTTTGATCCATTTTTGTTTACTGGGAGGAAATTTATTTTCAAGTTTTATTTTCTATCTATTTCATGAACAGAACAAAATTTTCTATATAAGGATGTGTAAATAGAAGTAATAACAATATCCAAATAATCCAAGCTCATTTACAGATATAAATATATCGATGAAATAGTTTTAAAAATAAATAATGATAATAAAAATTTTTCTGAATGAACATTATTGTATGATTGTGATTTCTATTTCTTTTATTTTAGGTATTCAAAAAATGGAATTGGAATGAAAATAGTACTCATATACCAGTGCGAGTATTCACATATCTTATAGGTAAGGAAGCGACAAAAATGAATGAACTCCAATGGATGGTAAGATCGTGTCTAAATCTTGGCGACTACAAACAAGTACAGACTCAGGAAGAAGTGCGCGAACAAGTGCTCAAGTACATTCCAGTCGTAGCGCGTCCTTTGGTACTTCAGAGTGTGATACATCCTATCGTGTGGACGCACACTTATGCTAACATTACGGTAAGAAATGTTAAAAACAAAACTTTTAAAGATCTAATTTTAATCTAATCTTTTCCCGTCATTCTGTGGGCAATTCAAAAAAGTTTTTTAAGTGGTGATAAATTTATGAGAAGTATATTATAAAAAAAAGTTATTAGTGTATGAGAGTTGTTTGAAAAGTTTTGAATCTCAACATAAAGATAGCATACTCGACAAAACCATTCTGGTACAATCGAACATGCTCTGAAAGATATCTATGAAAATTGTAGTTATTGTTGTTGTTCGACAGTCATATATTTGTGTCAGTCCATGTCAGTGTTTTTATAAAAATGAAAAAAGTCGAATATTGGCAATCGCCAATATTGGAACAGATATCGTTTAAAAGGCATCTTGTTATAGGTATAAGTATTGTGTGAAAAAAGTATTTAAGTGTAAGTACAGATACATTTTTTTATAACTACCGATAGTATAGATACCGATACAAGAAAAAAGTATCTGAAAATTTAAATACTTTTTAGGTACTCAAAAAAAAAGAAAAAAAAGAAAAATAGAGAAGAACGAAAAAATGAAGAAAATAAGAAAAGAAAAAGATATAAGCGTAAAATATACTACATTTTATTTGTTTGTTTTAATACATAAAAAAATGTCTCGATGATGAAAAGTCAAAAATAACAAGCTGCTATAGACTAATTTTATTTTAAATCTACTACCCAGATAGCCAAGTCTGTAGAAAGCAGATTTTTTTTTAAATGTCTGTTACATACTATGCCAACATATTATGTCAAATGAAATTTACGAATTGCGCTTTAAATTGTTTGATCACCCACCGTATTCACCAGATTTAGCCCCTAACGATTTTTTCCTATTTCCTAGGGTCAAAGTTTGGCTCAGAGAACAGAAATTTTCATCAAATAAAAACACTGACATCTATTATTTAATACAAATCTAATACAATTATCTAAAATCTAAACAAATATAATTATACAATTTGTGTATAATAAATGTATTACTCATTTGCTCAATTTAAAAAAAATTTGTCTGAAAATTAAAAATGATATTATAATTTGATATGAAAAATCTAAAATTTTTAGAAGAAAAACAATTTCAAAATTGTAAGTTTTAATAATATTTATATATTAGTTTTTAAAATCATATAATTGTAATTTATTTATTACTTATACATATATTATTTATACAAATTTCGTCTTTTTATATCTTCTACTATGTCTTAATGTTTTTGTAAAAGCGAAAACATATACAGGGAGAATAAAATAAACATACAAATCCCATTAGAATCCAGCACTTGTCGCTTGGCTGTAGTGAATGATGAAGCATGGGCAACAAAAGTCGCGATTAGAAAAGTATCTGAAAGGAAAACGGATGGGCAAATAAACGAGAACGCAATCTACATACAGCAAGTTTAGATACGATCAAGAAAGCACCCCCGCTGTCTGTTCCTAGGCTTTCCAACTTTCTACACTCTGTGTAGATTTATATCATAATTATGCTATATCTCCCTTAGCACAAGCTTCTGTATTTAATTTTTCGAATATCAAACGGGAGTAAAACTTACGTGACGCAACTTTGTTAAAATTCTTCTTTTAGAAAAGATATATTTAAAAATATTTTAAAAATATTTTAAAAATATTTTAAATCAGTGGATAATTTTCAACTTTGATCTCTCAACTTTGAACTCTGTTTGGTAATTCGTGTAAGATCAAGCGAAATAATAAATAATAGCATATTTAATTAAATAAACATTACTTTTTACTGATTTCAGAATCAGATTTGAGAATCTCTTAAATATCTCGCTCAATCTTAAAGTCAAAGACTTAATACCTAGAGGAATTAATTAACGTAGTTCGTTGAAGTGTCAATTCGGAGAATTGGACAAACATGCACAAATAATTTATCGCCAGACATTGAGATATGATTGATCGATGCAGCGAGTGATCTTTGGCCGATTAGTTATCATTAGCAGATTGAACTTCAAGATTTAGTACCCTGTTTGCTGGGCTTCATCGATTTTAGTTTAATTTATTTCTTTTTTATTTTTTTCCCATTGTTAGACCAGTGTTAGCTGCCATATAAAATGTTCAGGATTAAGCGGACAATCAAAGATCTCGAGTCTTTAAAAATATTACTGAACAATGAAATTTCTTAAATCAAATTCTGATTTAAGAATATTACACATGAAGAAAAATATATGTTTTTGTAATCAGTTCTCGTGGGATTTCGGTTGCACTCTTGGTTCCAAGACACGCTCTATATACCTCGGTATTGAAGTGACCGAGTGTGAATTAGATAGCGTGGCCCTTCGCTTTTGTTCCAACCTATCGACGTACTCACTCCTTTTAACGAAAGAAAATTGTAAAGGAGATGATATATTGCAATCGAAAAGTGTTTCTTAATCTCGCAATCGCTCTGTGTAGCTGCACAAGGACGAGAACATCGAGAAAAATTCATCCACCCTGAATACTACAACCCGGCAAAAATACAGACTGTTGACTTCCGTAAGCACTCCTGTGTTTGATCGTAAGAGCAATCACAACAACATGACAGATGCGGCAAATGACACACTATTCGGCGTGGCTGGCACAGATGTGCCGATTGATGATATTCGTGAACTTACATTACCGTATAAACTCGGCGTGAATGGCTACGCCTTTATTGTATCCAATAACGGCTATGTAATATTGCATCCAGACCTCCGGCCAGATTACAAAGGCCGACTTAAATTGAACTATAATAGCATCGATCTTACGGAGGTAGAGATACTTGACGATGAACGCGAGCCAAGGTATATAACACAACGTTTCCGTCATTTAGTATTATAGTTTCTCTTCTCCATAAATAGATAAATACAAAATATTGAATTAATTATTTAAAAAAATGAAACACACATTTTACATTTTAATCGTTTACGTTTCTTTTATTATTATCTTTTATTTGAAGTATTTATTAATTAAAAATGGACACAGGAATCCAGGACCTGAATTATTGGAGCTGAGATCAGCGCTGGTGGATCACAAGCGAGGTAACATGATGGAGATTCCCGTGAAATTACATTATGATGACAATCGTCGGGTCAACCTTGAGAAACGTGATTATTTTTATGCGCCCCTACCTGGCACTCCATTTAGTATTGCGATTGTTTTATCCAATTATGGAACTACCTGGATTAAGGTAGAAGCAGCACAAAGCAATTTCACTATCTTTTTTAAATAATCGCATTTAAAATGATTCTATGCACAATTAATTATACTAATTAATAAATGATTACATACAGCATAAATTATATCAAGTAGTAATTATACACGCAATTGTGCTCATGATATTGAATATGTGCTATTGAATATGTGCAAATTATTGTATGTCTAATTTTTCAAGGTCGGCGATGAGATTCGCAGAAACCAGAATATGAATGTGAATGTGTCGGATTATTTTGTGGGCGATCATTGGCGCATACATCCTAGCTGGGTATATTGTCGTTATCATTATTTGGAAGGTCATGAATTCAATAAACCGGAAGACGAGTTGCGTCATTTCTTAGCGCTGATGAGCCGTCCTGGTTGGCGTTGGTCTGAGCAATATGAAGCTTATTCATCTATAAATGAAGATGTTGATGAAGAACCCAACTGTGGCAGACAAACGCTCGTGCACGATGACTACTATTGCAACAAAGAACTTATGCAGTTGCTTGTATTTGATGCCAAGGCGACGAACAACAGCTTCCATGGTGATTATATGGAGAATTTATCTCCAAGGGCTCGGGATCTCGCACATCACTATGGTATTTTTATAAGATTTATCGCGACGCAAAGCGGGCTGACCAGGTGGCATCATCTTAAAACCAGCAAACTGCCGAATGTGGATGACAGTATTGTTTTCGGTGATCTTCATAGACGAGCAGTGAACGAACCTTGGTACAAAGGCGCGATCTTTCAAAGTGAACTAGATTCCGAAAGTATTTCTTTATCTGGTAAGAGTCATATTTATTGTGGATAGGACATAGAATTTTTTTATAATTAATGTTGTGCGTGTGTTTGTGTATTTTTTTTAAATCAATCGTGAAATCATATCTGTATGAACCGACATAAAGTTTTTTAATGTGTATGTTCTTTATTAAATTGAGATCCAATTAACAAACATTTCGATCTATCTTTTGGATCCTCTTCAATGTAACATAACTTCAATGTAACTAACTAATGCATACAAAATTCTCCTATATATTGTCTATCCGTAAAAAGTTAATCTCTCAAATTCACGTTGCGAAGTATAATATGATCAGAGAACAGATGAAGTTTAACATTCTCGTATCATACTTTACAACGTTTTTATCATTAAAAGAGATTAACTTATTGCGAATAGATAATATACAGGAGAATTTTATATGCGTTAAATTACATTGAAGAGGATCCGAAAGATCAAATCTGTTTGTTAATTAGATCTAGGCATGATTTCACGATTGATTTAATTTAGGTCATGTACCTGAAATAATTATTAAATTTTTTTTAAAATTATTTTTTATAATCATTCTGTGATTTATTTAAAATCAACATTTATATAATTATTTATTATATATGATTTATATTTGAAATAAGTAGTATAATAATTGAAACAAAGTATCATTGTAGTTCCATGGGAAGCAGGCGTGGACGCGATAGTGACTGCTTCAATGAGCCTGTCACCCAAGGATGGCGGCAAGAAAGCACCAGCGGCTGTAATGGGTTTTCAGATGCCGATGAAAGATCTGTACAAACGGTTTATTGCATTAATCTCAGACAATCAGACGACAAATACAATAAATTGCGCCCACAATTGGATTTACTGCTACCTGCTAGACCAAAACGGCTACATAGTGATCTCAGATGAACATAATGACACCGGACAATTTATGGGCACTCAGGAGGGTGCCGTCATGCTATCGATGATTAAACAGGGTCTTTATAATCCGATTGACATCTTTGATTATCAAGCATGGTGTTATGAGACCGTAAGTAATATATGTCAAAGAATAATATGTATAATCGACAAAAATAAAAAATATTGATTATATTAAAAGATCATATTTAAATAGATTTCACAGAGTTGAAAGTTTTTAATCATTATAAAAATTATAAAAATTATAAAGAATTTTGCATTTGGTGAGAAAACAAAAAATAGCATGGAGAATAAATTGTTCCCAAAGCTTTTCTATTATTATTCTTTTTTATTTAAAAAAAAGAGGGTGCTTTTTTTATGGAGCTGCAAATTGTTCCAGCGAAGCGATAACTCTGCTAACAGCTTAATAGAACCGTTGCAACATGTTGCAAGATTGTTGCTCTGGTTTCTGCTGCGGTTGATATGGTATGCGACCCAGTTTGTAAACTTGCCCGGCATTCATGGCAAAGTTCACTTCGATGAGGATGCACCAGATCCGCCGCCACCACCAGAATACTATCGTTATTACTATTCTTGTGATCAAAAGCGAACACTCTATATATTGAACGAGACCGTTGCTGCTAAAGGCGTCACCAATCACTCCGATTACTGTTCGCGGCCTTTTTATGCTCAGAGAGTAAATATTTTTCATTTTATTTGAGATGGAGAGGATAAGATTTTACGATTTTTATACATACTAAGCAAATATTAATACAAACATATTTTTATCTATTTAAAACTTATTTTATGTCTTGTTTGCAATTACTAACATTTTAATTCTGATAAGTGCGGCTCTAAGCAGTTTTTAATAAATATAGAGAGACTTAGTGTAAAACTGTAATTATCATACTTTTTAAGACAATCTTAAAACAATCATAATGTTATTAAAGTATTTACAAAGAAGTACGCGTGAATAATTAAAAACGATTACTTGTGCATATCATTGTACTGTAATAATTTCACAATTTGATAGTATAATTATACAATTTACATATTTACGATGCATCGAAATAATGCATTTAAAGTGAGGTTGATTGGATCAGCATGTTAATCATCGACGAGCGTTGACGAAAGAAGAAGTAATGAATGTATCGAAATATTTTTAATATTCCAAATTAAAACAGATTTATGAGAAATTATTTCTTAATTTATTGATGATATTTTTGATATGCTTTTTAGAGATAATTGATGATATGCTCTTTTGTAGTTTCCTATATTCTTTATTTTTCAGTTTATGAAGTGATGAAACGTTATTAATGTTTATGCTGTTAAATTAATTGATGACAATTTTATGTAAAAAATATTATATTGCATAAATTACGTGCGTATATAATACAGCAATCGAATAGTTTAAAAAAATAATTGTCTGTAATAATTTACAGGTTGCACACACTAATCTGTTACTAGTTGTGGTGGACAGCATGTATCCAACGTGCTTGGACATAAAATTAGAAGTAACACCTGTCAACATCTCACCCCTCGAATACGCAAATAACACGGGCGACAAACCCTGTCACAAAATTCCATTGAACACTCTAAAAAGACGCAGGCTGAAGAGTTGCTTCACAGAACATCCTCTGGAGCATATGACTTATGGCTGCGGAGCATCTGAACTGATGGTGTCTTTGTTACTATTACATATCACTGTTGCTAGGATTCTGTATATCTTCGTATGATGGCAAATTAGTCGTCCTTAGTATATGGTAACTGTGTTGTTTTACAGAAAATAATAAGATAATAAAAAATGAATAAAATAACACAAGAAGTATAAATATTTCTCCACCAAATCATAACTTTATAAATTAATAAAAAATGGCTATATATATAATTCTTTCACATAGAATATTAAATAGTGCTCTTTTAAAATAGATAGATATTTCAATTTTTAATATATTTTAGCGAGAATTAGTAATATATCTCTTAATTTATTAACACTTAAGTCAGTATTCATAGTCCATTTTTATTAGATTGTCTTGAGTAATATCTTAATATGGATCTGTGATTTTTTTTTTTATACTATGCCAGCAAATTGGTGACAGAAACCAGACAGAATCTGCTGCATAACCTGATGGCAGATTGGTAGCAGAAACCGAGCAAGATCTACCATTTTCATATACGGTCTCGCCACGAGATAACTTGCTTCTCGTAAGAAGAAAACATCCAAGAATCCTATAAGAATTGGCGTATGTAAATCGAAGATAAAATCCTAGAGATTTTCAAGTTTTTTCGAAGTATGCTTTCTGAATTTCCGAATATTTTTTTGATAATTTTATTACTTTCTCATGTGTACAAGAGTCATTTGAAAAGTTGCCTCAACATGAAATGGTATTACTCGTTAAAACCATTCTCTACTACAATCGTACGATACATTAATATTACGAGTCCATCTTACATGTATGCGTGCGTGATGGCGATTCAGAGTTTCCCCTAGGCGTTACCGCGAATAATCTGATCATGAAGTTTATATCGAGAAGATTCAGGGTGAGTCGAGTTTTTATTAGAAATAGCACTATATGATTAGTAGGTGTTATTTAAGAAACACCCTGTATATGTTTATGTATATACATATTAATGTGTATATAGTTGAACCTCTATAAAAGTAATTTGTCGAACCGACCTCCATAAAAGTAAACAAATGAGCATGCGCGAGCATATATGCTCGCTTACTATTGTATATGGGAGGTTAAGACATGTTTTAGGTTTTAGGATGAAATCACACGATGGGGAAACCATTGCGAAATAAAGAATGTGTCATAGAAGCAATCAATCAGCGCTATTCGGAATAACGCAAAATAACGTTGATTTCATCCTTACGAAGGTCAAAACAAAACAAAGGTTAACTTTTCGGAGGTCCGACTTTATCTATATTTTAAATGATTTGTGTATATATATGATTAAATCATTAATGTAACTTGATGATACAAAATTTTTCATGTATGAATATGTATATATATATTGGGTCATCTAAAAAGTATCCGCGGTACTTTGTCACTAGATATATGACCATCAACACACATCTAGTGACAAAAAACCGCGGATACTTTTTAGATGACCCAATATATAAACATAAATATTTATAACATGTATAATCATATATAATATAAAATATATCCATATATGTTGAAACATCTCTTTTTTTTGTGTACTTTTTAGTACATTTAAAATAGAAATTATATTAGTAATGTAAAAACAAAAACTAATTAAAGGGATGTTTTCGCATTATTTATTTCAGAAAAGAACAAGTTTGGAAAAATGTAAAAAAAATTCTCATACACAATTATGTATAATTATAATACATATAAGTAATTTTTTTACATTTCTTCAAACTTGATTTTTTTCTAAAACAAATATAAAACAACAAAAACAAATATAAAACAAGTACAAAAATTACCTTTTTAATTATTTTTAATATTTCACATTACTATTATTATTTCTATTATATTAAAAAGTAATTTCACAAAAGAAAGAGGGATGTACGAACATGTATAAACATAGTTCATATATAATTATACATGTTTATGAACTTATGTGTTATATACTTATGTGTGTTTATACATATTTATTCATATTCATGCATGAAAAATTTTTTACCGGGTAAGATCGAGTGAAATACACACACACGCACATTCAGACATAAAGTTATAATTTTATCTCTATGAAAAAAATAGCTATGTTATATATACTAAGCACAATATAAATTTAATTCAATAAAAAGAAACAAACGTATAATAACAATAAAATAAATGCAGACAAAGAGCAAAATTGTCTCCAAAAAAAAATATATATACTATATGTATAATGCGCTACATTTTTATACAGCTTATAAAAAATTTATTTATAGCATGAATTTCTCTGTCGTGCCTCATTTTTAAAGTATAAGATAAAAATGTAAGTTTTTACATAAAATGGGGAGGGAAGGGGAGGGAGGGAGGTAACACTAAAAAGGTAAAAGGAAAAAGATATCATATATTTATTATTATTAATTTTTAATCTTAATTTTTTTCCACATTTCTACATGTGTTCTTCGACGAACGTCTCGCTCGCGGTCAATGTGTAATATACATATATCTATGCAGGCGACATCGCTAGCAACCGTGGACACGGTCGCCTCGGCAACTGCCATCAGTTCCGTAAACAAAGGCACGCATTGTCGTGTTGAGGGTCGCGTGAAAAAAATTTCTTCGACCGAGGGTCGCACGTTTGATGTACGAAGATGTGAATGCACCGCGACGGCTTGCACTTGTCTCCGTGTCCGCCCGAAAGATTCTCTCACGTGCGAAGACTCTCCCTCTTTCCGGAACCACGTCTTCAACGACTTGAGAGTTCCGTCGACGGCACTGCCGCTGCTGCGACAATGTCGGGGAAAAAGGCTACGGAGAAGGTCTCCGAGATTGATGCACATATCAACAAACAATACGACATTGTGCGACGTCTCGGCAAAGGGGTAATAACGTTATCCTTCCCGTTTATTCTGATATGTAGGATGGCATGTAAGATAATTTTATGCATGTCGTGGTAACGAGTTAATTTCAAATGTATATCTTTATCCCCCATGCGAAATAAAAATACGTCGATTTACAGCATGTAAAATATGCTCATCTAAATTAATTGTAATTTTGTCAAAAGTCATACCATATTTTATTCAGATGTTACGTCGTGTGTTATTTGTTAATATATAAATTATAAGAAAAATATGAAATTATAGTTGAAGGAATAAAATATATATGCTCGCGGTTATTTCAGATAAACATGAAATTTTTAATTATGATAAATATATACAGTTTGACGGAAAGTAAACTATATATATTTGATATTATATGTCATTTAATATTTTAGAATTTTTTTTTTCAGAAACCAACCGATTTTTTCGTTATCAAATTTATCTCAATTTTTCTACAATTGCGTATGTAATATTTTGTCGATTATTTTATATTTTTTAATTTAATTTTATTAAAATTATTTTTTTACGTAATCTTATTGCTATTTTGATAACAATAAGATAATGAAACACAATGATGTAATAAAACATAAGATAATAAAACTTTGATAAAAAAATGAAATCATAGTATGTATATTGATACTATGATATACACGAAATAAAATTTATACGATAAAAACTTTTATTATATCAATGTTTTCCAACATTTTCCTTTTGAAGAAGATGTCAATAATCGTCATGATTATCTACCTCAGGAAAGTAAAGTTGGAGACAATCGATAATGTCGCCGTCGCAACGATAACGGTGGCAAACGGATTGTGGTACCACAAGTCAATTTTTGTTAGACGTCTATTTACATAATTTGTATCTGATGATAGGTTGCAATCTCATTTACATCATAATAATGCAAATTTATCCAATAACTTATACATTGTGTTTAGTACTGTTTATTCTTATTTTATGATATCGAGATAATTCCAATCAGTAAAAGTGAAATAGAAAACGTATCGATTATACATATATAAAACAGTTTTATATATAATTCTTATTTATATTAAATATACATTTGTTTAAATATTATTATTATTAAAGATTTATTGAGTAATTATAATTTTAATAAGAAATATATGCGAGGATAATAGTTACAAAATTGTTTAATTTTTTTTTATAGATTTTCTATAATAATGATAGGAACATTATTTAATTCTTCTTTTTTATACAGGCTTACGGTATAGTATGGAAGGCAATCGAAAAGAAAAGCAAGGACACCGTCGCGGTGAAGAAGATCTTTGACGCCTTCAGAAATCAGACGGATGCGCAGCGTACCTTTCGTGAGATTATGTTCTTACTGTCGTTCGCCAATCACGAGAACATTATAAAGCTGATCGGACTGCATAAGGCGGACAACGATCGGGACATTTACCTCGTTTTCGAGTACATGGGTGAGTTTTACCCGGTCCGAAGAAGAATTCGCACACATACGCATACGAAGGTCACGCCATGTGCGCCGATTCTCAGACTTTTGGCCTGAAACACGTTTCGGCCCGTTTCCCCAGAAACCGATCTCCACAACGTCATTAAGCGGGGCAACATCCTCAAGGACATCCATAAGGTCTTCATTATGTATCAACTTTTTAAGGCGATCAAGTACATACACTCAGGCAACGTTATCCACCGAGACTTGAAGGTGAGTCTTATTTAAAAGTGTGCTTAAAAAGTCCAGTTAATTTTTAATTTGTACTAAAAGAATATCTTTAGAAAATTTTATATAATTTTAATTTCATTTTTAATTGTAAACTTTTAAATCACATAAATTTGAAGAATACTTTTTTCGATTTTATGTGAAATCTTTTTAATTTTTTTATCTTTTTCATATCAAATTTTTAATTTGTCGTATTTGTTCATGATGGAGAAAATACAATTTTCCTTTATGTCGAGTTTGCGTTATTCTTTCTTTGTAGCCGTCCAATGTTCTTTTAAATGCGCAATGCCATTGTAAGATTGCGGATTTTGGTCTGGCACGCTCGGTTACACAGATCGGCGAAGGTGATGGTGAGACGGGAAATGATCCAACTTTGACGGATTACGTCGCTACACGGTGGTATCGCGCACCAGAGATTCTAATAGCTTCAAAGAGGTACGTTTATTTAAATGGAACATAAAATGCAATATTAAAATTTTGTAATTGTAACAGAACTGAAATATCATTTCGACTTGTTTCTTAAAGTGATTATTCGGAAAGAGTTATTCGCATTTTTATTGTGCAAACTTACGGTTATTAATTTAAATAAAAAACGAAATCTTCAATAATTTATAATAGTGTTCAATATTATAAAAAATTAATAATTTATTTGTAATAATTTGTGATAGGATTTAATATTATAAAAAATATATACGCGTATCTATATGCATTTGTTCTAAACTTTTATATCATAAATGCTTGAATTTAATACCGTCTCTGTATAATTAGGTAATTAGAATTTTTTTATACGCAAAGTTTAGATATCACAAGAATCGGATTCTATCATTCTACATGGCAATATAAATATTTTTAGATATACAAAGGGGATAGATATGTGGTCTTTAGGTTGCATTCTCGGCGAAATGTTACTTGGG